TCAATATTCAGAAGAGATTCTCAAACAAGGGAAAGGGGTAAAAAAACATGGAGAGAAAAAGAGGAAAACATCACTGACTACCTGCAACCATACTCACAGGAGGGCCAAGACATTTTATTAGTGTACTTGTTGTTACTTTAACTGTCGCTTACTCTGTACTTCACCATATTTTAACAAGAAATGAATTGCTATTTGAAGAAAAGTCAGACCCCAGAACAAAAACCACATACAACACTTCCTCCTAGTTCCTATATAAATGTCAATTGCTAATGCACATTTACTCTTTAGGCCATCACATTCTAATGATATGACCTGTAAGTCACCTTTCTCCTGGCTTTTCTTCTCCTGTACAACTTTCTGCTGTCACTCAAATATTCTTTAACAGGATGAAAGAGCAATTTCCAATTATCAATCAGTTCCAAACTGCTGCGCAGTTCAATCTTTCTCTCTGCATGTTTCTATGAATAGCAGCTAAATGGCAATCTACAAATCAACTCTAATCCCTTCTAAACATATGTTGTTCTTTAGTTAGGTAATTTCTATATACTATAAATGATTCATAATGAAGCAAAACAGCAATATTCATTTAAGCATGGTCAAGAAAAATAATTATTTATGAATAATCATCTCATATCATGTTTCCCATACTTAAAATACAAGATTTCAAATTTTTCTTCACACAGGCAAACAAAACCCAATAGTTACGGTGACTTTTTCAGGAGATATTTGGTTTTTATGTCTTATTTAAATTCTCACAACCATAGTAAACCTTATAAGAGTTATTAACTAGGCCAGCACTCCCTGGTCAATAGCATAGGCCTAGGTTTAAATCCTGAAGCTGCCACTTGCAATGTGACTTTGGGCAAATTACTCAATCTGCACCTCACTTTTCTCAGCTTTAAGATGAAGACAATAACAGTATCTACCTTATAAGTGACAGGATTAAATGAGATAATAAATAAATGAGTAAGGCACTTAAAACATTGTCTGACACACAATACATACTAGTAAATGTTAACTTCCGTTTTTATTTATTTATTTTTATTTTATTTTATTTTTGGAGACGGATTCTCTCGCTGTTGCCAGGCTGGAGTGCAATGGCGCGATCTTGGCTCACCGCAACCTCCACCTCCCGGGTTCAAGAAATTCTCCTGCTTCAGCCTCCTGAGTAGCTGGGATTACAGGCATGTGCCACCACATCCATCTAATTTTTGTATTTTTAGTAGAGACGGGGTTTCACCATGTTGGTCAGGCTGATCTCGAACTCCTGACCTCGTGATCTGCCCGCCTTGGCCTCCCAAAGTGCTGGGATTACAGGCGTGAGCCACAGTGCCCAGCCAACTTGTTTTTATATTTTAGCCTTCTAAAATAGCCTCACTATCTATAGTCACAGCAGATAGAATAGTCCATAATAATCTAATCTAATCCAGAGCAATTTAAGAGGGAAATACTAAAAAGAGATTACTGTTTCTGTTTTGTTGTTGTTGTTTTGAGACAGAGTCTTGCTCTGTCACCCAGGCTGGAGTGCAGTGGTGCAATCTCAGCTCACTGCAACCTCTGCCTCCTGGGTTCAAGCAATTCTCCTG